TATACCTACACCCCGGAAAGCAAGCCAGCAAACTTGGACCACTGTGCCTTGGAACGGACAAACTCGCCGTGCAAGCATTAGGCAAGCTAGCGGAATCCGCAAGAAGCCCGTTCCTGGACCCGTGCCCCCTCTTCCAGGCCAGCAGAGCAATGTCCAAGAAAACCCTGCGACAATCGAAGAGAACGAGCCTGCTTTGAATGGGGCCTTGGATGAAGGAGAAGAGCGAGGTCGGCTATTCGTCAAGGTCGTTGGGATGAAGTACCTAGATCTGCCGCTCCCACGAGGTAAGTTCCCGATGCCACTATACGCATGAGCGACATCATCTAAATATAATCTAGGCGAGAGATCGTACTTCTCCCTGACCCTCGACAACGGCCTCCACTGTGTTACTACGGCTTGGTTGGAACTCGGAAAGACAGCCCCCGTCGGGCAGGAATTTGAGCTGATTGTGCAAAATGACCTAGAGTTTCAGTTGACTTTACAGATGAAGGTTGATGATGAAAAATTCAGAGTCCAAGAGCCCCCTCCAACAGCATCACCCGCGCGACAGAAAACGTCCACTTTCAGCAGGGTGTTTGCTTCCCCTCGCAAGCGAAAGGAATTAGATATGAAACACCAACTGGCTTCCCAACAGCAGAAGAGTAAAGATGTTAACGCAGGTGTCTGGGACCGCCTCAGGACTCTGATCGCTAGAGACGGTAGTTTCGCTCGTGCATATGTAGCGCTGAGCGATCATGAAAAACATGCTTTCGGCCGCCCTTACACGGTCGATGTGGCCTGCTTCAATGAATGGGCCGTTGAAGACCAGCCAAGCAGTGTTAAGAGCAAGAAGAGTACCTCCAGCGCTACTTCCCAACGGCGGCCTCCTTACAAGATTGGCAAGCTAGAGCTGCAGCTGTTGTTTGTCCCCAAGCCAACAGGTGCGAAGGATGATGATATGCCGAAGAGCATGAACGCTTGCATTCGAGAAATGCGTGAAGCGGAGAGTGTTTCATCCCGTAGCTGGGAAGGATTCTTGTCTCAGCAGGGAGGCGACTGTCCCGTAAGTTTCCCTTCACTCATATTCCCTATAACTCGGCCCACTAACTTCTCGTTGGCAGTTCTGGCGTCGCCGCTTTTTCAAGCTTCAAGGCTCCAAATTGACCGCATACCATGAAACCACCCGTCAGCCTCGTGCGACGATCAACCTCTCAAAGGCTGCCAAGCTTATCGATGACAGATCGTCCTTGATGCAGAAGGAGACCACAACCAAGGGCGGTGGACGTCGCAAGTCTGCCTTTGCAGAAGAGGAGGAGGGCTATATGTTTGTGGAAGAAGGATTCCGTATCCGCTTCGGCAACGGCGAAGTGATCGACTTCTATGCGGACAGTGCAGCCGACAAGGAGGGCTGGATGAAAGTATTGGCCGACGCTGTGGGTAAGGGCTCTTCGGGAAGCAGTCAAGTTAAGCAGTGGACCGAGCTCGTACTCAAGCGTGAGCGTAGCGTCAAGACGAGACGGGAAACGACTGACCGACGTTTCGATGGGCCTCCTCCCCCACCCGTCAAAAAAGATAAGGATATTGCGCCTCCACCGACATCCACGGCACCGGCGCCGGCAGCCGCACCGCCACGAGCTAAACATCGCTACACCCAGTCTCAACCCGAAGTTCGCAGTGCGGACACTCGACGCCAGAAAGCGCGCTCCTTGATTTTCTAAACACGCCAACAGGTTGGATTGACTTTTTCTTCCCGTCTTTGAATCTCCTTCTGTGTTTCCACTTGTCATATTGGCCTTGTCTTCTCATCCCTCTATCGTGCATCCTTGATCTGTTTGCTGTTTCTTTTGTCATTTGTCTTCTCCCCCCCCCCTTTTTTTTCCACTTCTTTTTCTCTGCGGTGTTGGTGTACTACTGATGTATCACTTGACTTCCTTTTGTGTTTCCTTCTGTCTAAGGTCCAATTTTCACTAGCACCGAGCGTCGTGTTGCATTCTGTCGTACATTAATGATACATAGCGCCTTTCTCTTCTTCCGTCAATAATTGAGTTTGTTCTTTTTCCATGGTCGACCTTGTAAATGAAGTATATGTCGTCTACCTCTGGCTTGGTAAATATATAGCCATAATCATGTACAAGACGGTCGTGACAAGCTCCATCTTTACGCCTATGACGGCCTCGAGCCTAACGAACGTCAGATATATTACTCGGTTGGGTATCTTTACAGTGAGTGCTATTAACACTGGAACATGTGGTAAGCTGGTAGTATTACCTATTCATCTGATACAAGGGATAATCATACATCCTGCAAAAATATAGTCAAACCATTTGTATACTCACAACCTTGCACAACCTTGCAGATCAAACCCCACTTTGCAGCTTGGTGGAATGCAAAATTGATGCTACCTGAGGAGAGATTCGATGCATCTGTAGGTGCAAGACAAATTCTTTCATTACTATTTCTATATATATATATATATATATAGCTGAAAATTTAACCACCCTCTTCTCCATTGTTGGGAAGATTGCCCTCATCTTCAGATTCTTCCTCAATCTCTGCTAGGGCCTCTTTCTGAGACTTTCGGCCCTTCTGAGCGTCTTGGGTAGCAGCCGAAGGTTGAGTCGCAGGTTTCGCTGCTGGAATACCGCCGGATGTAACGTATAGGAATTCTTCTTGAGGGAAATGATCGATGTGGTTGAAAAATGAAGCGAAACTTTTTTTTTTTAAGAAAATGTCAGCTGAACTGTTTCAATGCATGTGTGGAATATAGCTGACTGAGAACTTACGCGTTAGTTTCCTCTTCCTCGCGGAAGATTCGATCATAGATTTCTCTTTGCTTGAACTCGTTCATTTCCGTGGCATACTCCTGAAAGTTGATGGGTTTCTTTCCAAGCTCTTGCGCCTTTTTACTGTAGCCATTGAAGATGGGACGTTCCAGCAACAGCCCGAGACCGGGCGCCTTAGGAATTGGGATCTTGGTCGGTCCATATGAATCAACGATCCGCTTGGGATCGCAGCCGCAGCGCACCATAAGTGTGGCCATGGCCACCATTTTCCGAATCTGGTGCATCATGAAACTCTGACCGTGGACCTTAAGGCTGAGCCACTCGGTGCCATTGATGATAATCGGGTTCGGGTCGACGTTGAAGGATTTAATGTGGCGTTTTGCAGAGGGGTCCTTGAACAACTTCTGGATGGTGTAATTATAGAAGTTCTTAGTTCCAAGGTACTTATCCAACGCCTCTTGAAGACGGGCAACGCGCGCGGGAGGAATACGGTAAGTGCGCTTTGCGGTATTGTATGCAGCCTTCACGGCCTTGACTGCATCGATGATCTTCCGCCTGTGAGCCTGCTCGGCTTCGGTGAGTTCGGGCTTTGCGGTGGCATCTGCTCCTCCCTCTGTGGCTTGAGCTTGTTCCTCGCCCTTCTCGGTTTCAAATGATTCATCCTCGGGCTTCTCATGATAGATTGCATTCATGACGACCTCACGGATATCCTCGTCCAAACTGTCGAGAACGGGTTGGATATATTTCGCATCGGCCTCTTCCCAGTAATTAGCGACCTCTACCTGTCGGGCCTTGTGTGCATCCAAATCACCCTCCTTTTCGGCGATCTCTATGATCTTTTTACCGAGGAACGTGCTGGGATGTGGCGGCAAAAAGCAGTAGCTAGGCATCAAATATTCGTAGATACGAGAGTCGCACATCTGATAGCTGCTGAAAGACTTGCTCGCGACCAGAATACCCCAAACGCGGATCTGCGGGCTAAGGTGTGCGTTGATCTTCTCAACAATATCCTCATCCTCGACAATCAACTTCAACGACACGACATTACCAGCCGCGTGGACTCCTTTATCTGTACGGGCGCATCGCACCAGCGACGACTTCTTCGGGTCCGCCGCGTTAGCCTTGGAGATAGCCCCGGCAGCCACAAACGCCGCGAAGAGATCGCCCTCGATGGTCTTCTCGGTTGTGCTCCTGTAGACGATCAGCACCCGTCTAGGTAGACAGAATTCAACATTTGTCCATACAATTGCATTCCCTTGTAGCCCGTTCCAGAGTATCCCAGGAGTACAGCCACCTTCTTCTTCGGCCGTCTTTGTTCATTCTCGATGTCTTCTTGAGAGAAATGCGTGGCGTAGATTGGGGCTTTGATTTCCTCTCCATTTTCGATCTTCTGTCGCTTGGCCTCATTCTCTTTATCTAACCGTCCTCTCTTATCTAGCGGTTGCCGACTTGCTTGGTTAGCCGGTGACAGTCGGATCTGTACCCCAGAAGCCGCGAGACATACCTCCACTCTGCCCTTCCCAGATCCCCCTTCTTACGCTTGCGATCAACTTCTTCGGGTCCGCTAGCTCTTCCTTCGTTATTGTCCATGGTTCCAATGATCTCCGCAAGTTAGATAGCGGTGTATTAGATGCGAAATGCCTCTGCGAATTGACAGGCGGAAAAGATCGACAAAGAAAGCCTGTCAAATATTGACGCGCGGAGACGTAGCTACGCATGAAGAAGCGGGTCCCGAGGGGAAAAACTTGCGTCGTCGATACTTGGGATTCGTGCCTTTCTTTGGGCCTGCGATTCAATTTCCGTATGCACTAGCCGTAGTAGGATTAGTGCAGATACCCTCTTCCACTAAGCCTAATTGGGGTAGCTTTGACCGAGGCCTCAGGCAAGAATGGATGCTGCGGGCAGTTCATCCGCTGCAGCGCCGCTGGTCGTCCTTACTTCCCTTTAACCTCATTGTTGCTTTTTCTTCTTTACGCTGGTGTTCTCAGATATAGCGTCGCGGGCTATTAGATTGTTCCGTGTGAGCTTCTACTCACATCTTTGATTCATCCTCCGCTCTCCCTTGGCACCCAGAATAAAAAAAAAGCCATGCTACTCGTTTTGCGCTGACCTTAGTTCGGGATATCGAGAACCTTTGCGCTCAGCAGCGATTGAACCCGCCTCAACACCGTCTCATCAACTAAGATCAAAGTCAAGCCTCACTTTCCTTCCCTACCAGACCATCTTCTAGATATCACCATGGATCTTGCGAATACGCTCATTCGGACTGTGGTCCGCGCCTTCTACGAGACCCGCCACATTTTGGTGGTTGATGCGCTTTTCATCCATTCGGTGTATGCTTCACTATACCTGGGCTCATAACGAATTCTATTCCATCTGCAGCATCAGTACTAAGTGTTGTTATCCGTTGTCTAGACTCCATGCCGAAGACCTCGCCTTTCTCCTAGGCATGCAACAGAAGGATCTCCGGAAGCTATGCGCCAAATTGCGCGAGGATCGCTTAATATCGGTGTATGGCTGGCCTGCAGTATCACGTTATGCTGGAAAGTGGCAATACTGACATGATCCATCAGTAATACCCGAGCAGAAATACGGGACGGCTCAACTCGCCCCGTTAACCGTGAATACTATTACATTCCGCTACACCCGGTCATCGACGCTATTAAGTTCAAGGTCTCGAAGTTAACATCAACCATTAAGGCTCAGTATACGCCGAGCGAAGAACGGAAGGAGTATATCTGTTTAAGATGCGGGGCAGAATGGACCGAACTTGATGTGCTGAGCTTGTACTCTGAAGAAGGGTTCGAGTGCCAAAACTGCGGGGCTATTCTTGAACGGACAGAAGATGTCAAGGGGGCGGAAGGGATTGACCGTACTGGCCACGAGAAGAATAGCAAGCTCATGGCTCAACTGGACACTATGCTGAAGTTGCTTAAACAAATCGATTCTGTCGAAATCCCGCCGAACGACTTCGATACCGCTTGGGATCACAAGATCGATGTCGTGCGAAACCAGGCTACTCACCCAACACGAGCTGCAGTTGTTGTGCCATCTAAGAAACAGGAAGCTGTTCGCGGTAATACTAAGACTGATGCCGGGGCTCTTGAGATTTCCCTCACATCTAGCGAAGAAAAGAGCGCTGCCGAGCAAGCGGAAGAGGCCGCACGTAAGGCCGCTGTGGAGAAGCAGAATGCGCTGCCAGTGTGGCATACACATTCGACCGTGTCTACAGGCGCTGGAAATCTCAATACGGTGAAGACGGAGACGGACGCCGACGTGAAGTCCGAGATCAAGGAGGAAGAAGATCGAAAGCCGGATCTCGATGCCCTCGACGACAAAGTCGCCGCCTACTATGCCGAAATGGAAAGGGAAAAGGCCCTTCAGGCCCAGGAAGATTCCAGCAGTGCAGAAGAGGATTCCGACGATTTCGATGAAGAGTTCGAGGACGTTGGTGGTGTTTCTGCGAGCGACACTGCGTCACCGGCTATTGGCGGCACTGGCGCTGGCCCTACCAGTGCACCTACGAATACAACGTCCATGGGAATAAAGCGCGAGTTCGACACAGACTCTGGAACCAGCGCTCCTCAGACAGCTTCAGCAACACCATCTGCTACCGATGAAGGCCCAGCAACGAAGAGGGTCAAAGTCGAACCGGAGGTCAAGAAAGAGGAGTCTGATGAAGATGACGACGAGGAATTTGAAGATGTTTGAAGAAGCTTCACTCAAACCATACACTTATGAAGGTAGAACTCTATCATGCAGTCGGCTTCAACCCCTTGTCGGCGCAGGCGCCCGGGAGAAGGTGTTCTGTCAAAGAGTAACAACACAATGACGGGAAAGGAGGAATATATGTATGATATTTACCTAACCAAGCTTTAAAAGGGGAATATGAATAGACTAGGCCTTCGTTTTTTCTTTCTCATTCTCGAATTCTTCACATTGGCGTAGACTCTTATTTGCTCTGCCTTGACTTAACCAAACATTCTCGTTAGCTCGAGTATCAGTCAAGACATCTTTGTATTATAAGGAGTCTAAAAATGATTGAAACAAAATTCACCGGTACTATTCTCCGAAGAGACCAATCCATTCAAGTGAAAGTCCTGCTTTCTTTCTAAGATAGGCCTTCTAATTGTTCCATAGATCTGAGGACTATCCAGGAACCACTGCCTTAAAGTCTCATTTGCAGCCGTCAGTCATTCAATCAAGCAATATCGTTCCCTGGTTCATCAAAGGGACAACGCAGAAACAAACCGTGAAGGCCCTCCAACGAAAGCAATGCAAGCTCTTGCAGAACAACACCACCATTACCCTTTCTGTATTTAACACATGGCCGAAGATATTAAATATGAAAAAAAAAAAGAACAAACGTAAGAGACAGAATCCTTTCCCTGTACAGAGTTCAGAAACAGAGAACCCATTTCTAGTGTGGATGGGCAAACAAAACGCCGATCAATGCAGTCCCAAACACAGCGAAGGGAAAGAGCAAATGGCAGAAGGAGATACCTCTGCTCTTCTCCTCAAGCACCTTTCATTGACTTATCTTTCATCATGATACAATGGGAGAATTTCGGGATATATTGCATACAGGGCCTCATGGAGTGCCTGCAACTCCCATTTCCGAATCACTTGCCATCGCTGACTGGTCTTCCCATTCCTCTGGAGAAGGTACATCAGATTCTGAGGCCCCCGGGGTTAGACGTTGATAAGGATGCAATAAAATGGGATACATACCGGAAGCCAGCTCTTCAGGCATATCAACAGCTAATTCCTCAATAGCTCCCAGGACGGCTATGCTCGCCATTAGCAACAGTGAAAGACTAGGCTATAGTGAATTAAAGATTAAACGTACCTTGCGCCTGGCGGACAAACTCCTCGTCCTGTTCACTGTCATCAAAGTATGTAACTAAGCAGTGTTCAACAACCGTCTTGATTGTCTCTACAACTTTCGCTTCAACGTTGCTCCCAGAGGCTGAGAGGTAAGTCCTTCTCAACCTACTGATACTTGCATGAACCAGCTCCTTGGCCGCTTGTGCATGACGTGATTGCCAGTCGTCGCCGATGTCGCTAGCCTCTCCCGTGAATAATATCCGGCGTAAGAATTCCATGCTCATATTCCTGACGGCCCTGTCTGGGAACATAAGCAATGTCGGAGCCCAGTCTGGGATTTTATCTATGAGCTGGGATAGAAACCATGCCTCATTGAGATCAAGTCTCTCGTTGCGGCACGCCATAATGCTTGTAAAGAATGCGAGGTGTTCTTTACCTCCGCTGTCATTGATAGACTCCACCCCTTTCGCAACGTAGTCAATCAAAGAAACGATTCTTTCTTCATCAGTGCTCCGCCGACAGAATATCAAGGTGGCCTCCAAGAACGGAGCACAAAGTTCGGCAGGCGCGACTCTTAAGCCATCTTCCAGCGCCTTGCATATTGGGTCCGTGAGACCAGCCTCGAACTCCGCATCAACAAGTATGCCAACAATGCTTCTACATGCTTGCGGGCTGCTGTATTGTTGAAGAAGTTTCTTCAGAACTAATAGTTCATTGTTTCTCCCAACAGGCCGAAGAAGGTCGCTTTCCGCAACTGTAAGAGAATACATGTTGTCGGGTAAGGTCTGTCTTTCATCACCCGGCGTAGGCGACGCAGAAAGATCGATGTTCTGTAGCAAGACAGACAGGAGATCGGTGAGTTTCCTATGTGAGAATCTTCTTCCCTTCTCAAGGAGTTTGCAATAAGCAATGTAATGGCGTCTCAGTCTCTTTGAATCATCACGATCAAGCCACACGATTTCCAGGCATCTTGAAAGGAATCCGTAACTGAGCACCATCCCGGCCTCAAGAGACCCAAAACTTGCAAGCAGTAAAAGGAATTCAAAATAATCATCCCATGCCCTGCTTGCAGTGTGCAACATTGTCCAGAGGCCATGCAATGCTGCAACTACATTCTCGAAGCCATCCAAGTACCGCTTATGCCATTTGTCTTTATTGCTCTCTTCCTGCCCAACATTGTTGCACAGGTCCTGCAACTTTGAAAGCGCACTTATGAAGACCCTTATTGAACTGTTTCGAACAGCGGCATGGGGACACTTCAGCACTAGATTGCGTATGCCGGCTGGTCTTTCTGCGACCCACTGTAAAACTCTGTAGGCCGCCTTGGGAAGCTCAGTGACTGCTTTGAGTAGCTCAGACACAACCGCATCCAGTCCCAGTGGCTCTCTGTTCCTTGAGATAAGTTGCTCAAGTGTGTCCAAGGCGATGAAAATAATACATTTATCCAATTTAAAATCACCCACAGGATGAATGTCCCTCATGTCATGAAGCTGACATAGAAGGTGTCGCACAAACATGGCGTAGTATGGATCCATCAAACAAAAAGCTCGTATGAAGATCTCATTTTCCATCACAATGTGGTTGACAAGAGGCACTGGTGCCTGCACACGAACCGGACAATGGCTGGCTGTTGGTTTATAAATCGACTTGGATAACTCCATACTCGAGACACGCTGATAAAATAGCATGTAAGCATTCCACACTTTGTTGAACCGGACTTGGCCCATGGAAGTGTTGTTCATAGAGTCATTGTAGCCACCAAAGCACTGGTCTGCAATCTTGGACTGGTCAAACCGAGTGACATCTGAATCATTGAACTCAACCCACGAGCCTCTAGTATCGGCAGTAGGCCTTTCACGGATGTACGAATAGTAGTGACCAGATTCAGCTGTACCGCTATGAACCAAAACACCAACCAATTCGAAAATGTCTTGTTGAATCTCCGCGTCTGGATCTGAGAGGTACTCGACTTTGAACGGGCTCATATCAATGTGCTCTGGAAATTGAAACTCGTCATTTATCTTACTCCGCATCATCGTGACCATGTCAAAGTCAAAGCGTTTGAGATGGAATATGAGATTGTCCGGGACATCTTTCAAACAGGCTCTCTTCACAGCATCAACATGTCTTCCACAGGAAGTGCAGGAGTATTTGTTATCTCCTTGCATGATTTCTCCTTCGACATACGCCTGGAGACTCTCCTCCAAACTCGCTTTACCCTTGATATCGCATTGAATCGCAGAAAAGGGCTCAAGGCGTTCCGAGATATGGGGACACTCCTTGGACTTGATCTGTTGCACTAGCTGACCACCGTAAAATGAGCGAAACTTCTTTTTGTCTTCCACATTGGTAATCTGAGCCTCCCACCTGTCAAAAAGCAGGTTATAGAACTCGTCAACATCCATTTGTACCGTGACATCGACTGGCTCATTATCGTAGGTCCTTATTGAGTCCACTAGCCCTTGTGGATCGACACTTTTAAGCCACGTTTCTTGCATATAGCCAAAAACCTTCTTTGTCTCCTCAAGCAATATCTGGGAGTCAAGAGGATCCACAAGATCAAGCCGCATCATAAAGTCGCGGAAGGGCACATTCATAAAAAGCTGGGTTAAAAGCGAGTTCAAATAACAAGTGTTGGACAGATTCTTCAGCCCAGCATAGCCTTCGGGTGATCTGATCATTTTGTAGCGATCAAAACACCAGGTTGGTGAATATGTATAGTCTTCAGGAATGAGATCACTCAAGCGCTCTACGACTTTAGCGTAGTTTTCGTCGTATTTGCAGAGCAGGTTCAGAATACTATACAGTTCCTGCCGGGAAGATGCGTGCATGACGGGCGTCTGAGGGGTGATGGCAACAAGGGATGTTGACTCCGAAAGATCCGGGAAGAGGTATTTGTCAAACAAGCTTTCAGCGAGATCAAACGTGTCCACTGTGGTATTAGTTGAGCTTGCAAAGTCTAAGCACGATCTCAGGAGACGGCAAAAGCCTAGAAGTAAATGGTCGACAGGCTCTCGTCCAACAAACTCTTCGGTTTGGTGATCCAACAAAATGGCACTCCATTGTTTGAGATATTCGCTCAACACAAGATCACGCGGTGACTTTTCCGCAACTGAGTGGAATACCAAGTGAGCGATTTCAAAAAACTCTTGGGACTGCTGGACACAGCCTAGTGTCCGAGGGAAATTCTGCACAAAGGCTTCCCAGATTGTAGCAAGAATATCGATTCTGACTGGATTCTCGGAAGTTGTTGCCTCTCGTTGTTCTGGGACTTCTGGTTTCCCTGTTTTCTTGAGCAACTTGGACGGACTGCAGGCCACGGCTATATTCTCCGAAATGCCCTTGCGAATAGGCTGGCGGTCCTCATCCAACAGCAGCGAGAACAGAAGCTGGTCGAATGTTGCTTCCTGCTTTATCACAGCCCAAAACTCGGGGTCGCGAACAGAGCCTTCGATCATGATAGCAAAGGAGTTGCAGATTAGCTTATGTATACCAAGTTCCGAAAGATGACCCGTCGACGAACGCCGCCCAACGTCCATTAAATGCAGCAGCTGTCGGACTAAAGTTGTCGAATCTGGAATCGAGGCTGTATCGCCGGCTAGGGGCGGCCTCACAAGAAGAGCGTAAAGGAGACATTCAACCAGACTAGTGGCAAAAAGGAGCTTCATTGGGCAATTGTCCAATGAATCTGCCATTTCAGAGCGTGTTAAAGCAGCAACCAAAACTCGGACGCTATGAGACACAAATGTTTGATTTGGCGATGACTCTAGTGCTTCCTCTCTCAGGCATATAGAAAGCGCATTTACTGAGTAGAGGAAGTTATAGGGCTTACCCATAGGGAAGACGTCTTGATCAGCTTTGTCAGTAGACCTGACTAACTGCAG